GGCCTCCGATTCCCAGTTCAACCACTCCTATGCGAATTCCTTAGGCAGACAAGAATATGCCCAACCCAACTTAGCACCAATTCTTACAGAATAATAAATGGCATCGCCGAGCTAAATCGCCGACTTGGCCTCAACCTCAGTTTAGCCGAGCTTTTTCACCAATATTCACTTGGCCAGAATGAAGATGGCTGGGTATACTATTTAAGAATAAGAAGACACCGAGAGAAAATAATAAAAAATACACCGGATAAAGATGTAAATGACGATGACTTTTTCTAGGTCTCGGGCAACTTTGAAGACCAGGAAGCCCAAATACTGGGCGACCGAATCAACTGGAATAAAGGAGTAGCCGATATGAATACCTCGGCTTAGCTTTGTGTGCTCTTTACTCTGTTTATAAGTTTTGCGCCGTACTAACCGTTGCCTTTTTCCTTTATGAAGACTTGAACCATTTAAAGTCACAGTACCAATACCCCAATCTAGACGCACTCCGCGCCGCGCTCCGGTACGGTGATAGAGGTTGGGCCGAGCTGCTCAATTTTGTACCAATATACAGATATAGCAGTAGGAGGAAGACCAGGGTAACAGACTTCCTCCTAGAACCTTCCCCAGAATCTGATCCATCTCTTTCCCAAATCAACCTTGTTCCTTTAACTGAAGAACAAGAAATGGCAAAGCGCCGCGCTATCCTAGCCTTGATCACCGAAATAGCTACGCAGGCCGAGGTACCACAAGCCGGCCAAACAAATGAGGCAGTGGTGGCCCTTCCAACGGCCCGTGCCTCGTCATCCCGGCCGAGCAAGCATGCTCGAACATCTGCAACCGAGCCATAACAACTTATTGATGAAGATGACATCGTGCTTCCTTAATCCACCCGGCCGAGCCCCGAACCAGTGTATTCTGACCGGGCTAGCCCTTCAGAATGGGTACCAAAGATCATATACAACAACTGAGCTATTACTAACACTGACTCAATGGTCGCAAAGAAAGACCATTCACTGGCTTTTAACCTCGCCAAGAGCGTATGGCTACCAGTCGATATGGAGCACCACGACCATCTCACCGAGCTGAAGGCCATTCGCTTGACAACAAAATCGATGGTGCTGGTAAGTTCTCCCTTTGCTTGTCTTTCTAATTTGTACATCTGTTTGCGCAATTTTAACTATAATTGGTATCTCTCCTTTTGCAAGCCATGCAGAAGAATCATGTCGCTCACAAGCGTGTGTTGGAACTACGTAAAACCACACAGCAGGACGTGGCAGAGGCCAATGCTAAGTCGGCCGAGCTAGAAGAGTCCAAGCAGAAAATGGCCGAGCTACACACCGAAATATCCCGACTCACCGGACTAGTCAACTCGGCTGAAGCAGGTAAGCAGAAGGCTTCGGCCGAGTTGAAAGATAAATATCTGCACGAGCTGGCCAAGCTCGAGAAGAAGAAGGATGCAGAGATAGCCGGGCTGAAGAATAGTGTGGAAGATGCTGAAGATCGGGGTTATAAGGAAGGGGAGGCCACTTACATCCAACAATGTAAAGCTGCGAAAGACATATTCTTTAAATGCGGATGGAAAGCGGCTGTGGCGAAGCTCGATCATGGCCAAGAGACCGAGGTCTTTCAAAACCCTCCTCCACATTTTATACCGAGCTACATGGCGGAGTATGCCAATGCCATTCAACAAAAATTTCTTCAAGTTGGGAAGGAAGAGGAGGCATCCCCAGAGCCTGACGACACCCTGGCTGTTATTACTGATCGCGGTCTCCATACTGCTCCATCAGCTCAAGTTGAGCCACCGGTGGAAGACTTGGTTGAAAATGTGACCGAGCTACCTGCTGAAATCAGGCTATCGAGTGGTGTAGCTCGAGTTGACCTGGATGCGGATCTGGATGACCTTTTTGCTTGATTCTGTAATTTTTCCTTTTCTCTTGGAAAGAATTTGTAACCGGGCTAAAGTCCCTCTTCTTGTAACTTTGTTTTGGATCTTAAATGAAATCTTCTTTTTGCTCGGTTTATTCCATACCTGTATTCATTTTCTACTATGACTTGCATGAAGTATAACATTTTTTGGCCGAGATACCTATCTCGATCTTAACCTTGTAATCTGTTTGGTCATACCTGCCAACCTCTTCAGCCTAGATCTCTATCTCGACTGAAGAGTACTCAAAGTTGGTTATTCCAGCTAACCACTCTTTAGCCTAGATCCTTATCTCGGCTGAAGAGAAACAAATGTTGGTTATTCCGGCCAACCACTCTTCAGCCTAGATCCTTATCTCGGCTGAAGAGAAACAAATGTTGGTTATTCCTGCTAACCTCTTCAGCCTAGATCATTATCTCGGCTGAAGAGAAACAAATGTTAGTTATTCCTGCCAATCTCTTCAGCCTAGATCTTGATCTCGGCTGAAGAGAGCTTAAAGTTGGTTATTCTTGCCAATCTAGAGCCAAGTGTTTGGTTATTCCTGCCAAACTTCTTCAACTTAGATCCTGATCTCAGCTGACGAGAGCTCAATGTTGGTTATTCCTACCAACTACTCTTCAGCCTAGATCCTTATCTCGGCTAAAGAGTACTCAAAGTTGGTTATTCCAGCCAACCTAGAGTGAAGTGTTTGGTTATTCCGGCCAAACTTCTTCAGCCTGGATCCTGATCTCGGCTGAAGAGAGCTCAAAGTTGGTTATTCCTGCCAATCTAAAGCGAAGTATTGGTTATTCCGGCCAACTTCTTCAGCCTAGATCCTGATCTCAGCTGAAGAGAGCTCAAAGTTGGTTATTCCTGCCAACCTAGAGCCAAGTGTTTGGTTATTCCTTCCAAACTTTTTCAATCTAGATCCTGATATCGGCTGAAGAGAGCTCAATGTTGGTTATTCCTACCAACTACTCTTCAGCCTAGATCCTTATCTTGGCTGTAGAGTACTCAAAGTTGGTTATTCCAGCCAACCTAGAGCGAAGTGTTTGGTTATTCCTGCCAAACTTCTTCAGCCGATCTGGTTCATACATAGCGATCTGATGGTAACCTCTGTACGCAGCAAGGAAGCTAAGTCGATTGTGTCCTGCCGTCAAGTCTACCAGTTGGTCTATCTGTGGTAGGGGAAAGCTGTCCTTTGGGCATGTGTTGTTGACTGTTTTGTAGTCCACGCAGACACGCCATTTTCTGTTCTTCTTTGGCATTACTACAGTATTGGAGATCCACCTGGGATAGTGCACTTCTTTGATAGCTCCTGCCTCCAGCAAGTTTCCCACTTCTTCTGCCACTATCTCAGCATGGTGGAGTGCTGATCTAAATATTTAGGTCGCCACCTAAATATTTTTGGGAAATTTAAAAAACCCATGACTCGTGCCAAAGGCCACGTGTCCGTCATCACCAAGATTATCTCGGCTTAGGAACTTAGGTACGAGAGAGGAAGTTCATGATTTGAGCACCCTACTCGCCCGATCAAAGATTGGTCTCTACTAATCATAATGTGATTCTTATTTACATTATATGCTCTTGTTCTGATTATTAGGATAAATTACTATGTGATGCACACACAAGTATACTAATTTACAAAAATTGAAACATTTTGATCTCGTGTTTGTTTTTTGAAAATTGTTTGAATATGTACCACTTGAAAAAGCGATCTCATATACACATTACTCAAATTGTTCTAATTCAAGTAATTAGCCTTCATCCACAGGTATTCAAGCAAGTATATCAATTAAGCACTTGGCCTCATGGCAAGCATGCTAAACATGGCAACAATCACACTCATGCGATATGCTAAAGCACAAAAATGCTCACCTCGTACTCCAAGGCAAGCCAAAAGAAACAAAAATAATTAGAAAACATGCACGTTCCTAACTAATGCAACATGACTAATGCAACACATGCGATATGCAACTAAATAGGCTCGGCTACTAGTTATGATATGTGAATAAACTTAATAGCGTGCAGCTTAATCACGTTTTCAAAGAAGTATTTAAATGACAATGCTTGCTAGAATGATGAACCGAGCTTCGATACATGCAAGACAAGTGGATGTAAATCATGGAGAATGCTAAACGATATGTGATGTGCTACACTATCCATCATACGCGGATAAATAAAAGGGAGAAAGATGTGGGGTTGGAAGACATACACATTATTACAAGTTTGTCCCTCGCACAAGAGGGTCCGAATAAATGCCCTAACTAATTACTATGAATTAACTAATCCATTACAAATCAAATGAAATAAATTAACTAAGTTACTTAACTAATTATTACAACAACGAATTAACTAATTACTTTAGCTAATTAAATAAGTACAACACCAAAT